TAGGAGTTTTTTGAGTTGGCTCTTATTTATGAGTCAGTTGAGGATTTCTGTCTGGTATTAACATTTGTGGATGCTGTTAAGTTCATGGGGCATACATGAGAGAAAAAACATGTTCCTGCCTCTCGGAGCCTTGCATCCATTAAACATGCCTCAGGGAGGCATTTTGTGTTGTGACCTCAAAGAGACTTCCTCCTGCTAAAAATTAGTGAGAACTCTGAGAAATTCTGGTGTCAGCTTTTATAAATGTATATGTTCTAAATGTTTGATTAACATTTACACTAATCAGCTATTTTTGGATGTTGCTTAGAGATACTGTGGTTTATGTGGGAAACCTTTGATAGTGCAGAAGTGAGATGCAATGACTGGATAACAACTCCAGATAGTGCTTCTGCAAGAGTCTTGATTCATTTTGGAATTCTCTGGCCTGTCAGCTGGTCAGGGTAGCTGATCCATAGAAGCAGTGTTCTGCTTTCTTATAAACATAACTGTGTAAGTCTTTGCGCTCCCATTATTAGTAAGTCACTGGATTCAGGTTTTTTCACACAGATAATTGTACTACTGATTTGTAATTTTTGTTATACATTTGAGGTTAGCTAAGTTGTTTATCCCTGAAGCTGTTGGTCTGGTGATTTTTACTAGATCCTAAACCTGTATTTCAGTTAGGCTGCCTTAAGCCTGTACAAGTGATCTGATGATTATGGAGCCACAGCTGAAGAACTTTCCATCATACCAGACTTACTTAGGCTTTACCTTAAATGACAGTTAAATTTGAGGGGTTGAAGAAATTAGTTGAGCAGCAAAGTGAGGCATTAAAAGACTCTCTGGAGCAGTGTGTTTTCTGTCCCAGTAGAAGTAATTGTTCATTAGATGGCAATGGCTCAAGTGTTGAGCAGTAACACTGACATTGCTCAGCTGAGTAATAGCTTGTTGTTCTTGTGAAATCAGTGTGAACCTCGTGATTGACAAGTAGATCAGCCCTTGCTCCGCAGGCTGGAAGTTTGGTGCTCCTCAGTGGATTTTGGCATATGAAATAATTTTTGTGTAGTAAATTTTGAATATTTTTCCTAAGCATTGAACTGTGGTAAAATTGATGGACACTGTGCTTTTAATAAAGCTGAGTACTACAGCATGTGATTGCTATTCATTTCTATTCAATTGACTAGAGACTGACAAGAACCTTGCAGCACTTAAACTACTAAAAAGCAGGAGGCTTAACTCCATTTTCGGTGTGGACAATTAAATTGAATTGGTTCCACTTAAGAGTGTAGAGCAAGGCTTTTTCAAGCAGCCCATATTTTGCAGCTGTTTACTGCTGCTGTTTTTTTTCTTCCATCCACTTTAGAACTCTAATCTTACTATTTTGTGAAGGAACTGAAAAGATCACCAAGAACAAATTGTACCTCAGATTAAAGGAATAAAAATTGAGCTAGAGGTATGGGAAGCACCCATGGAAGAAAAAAAGGGTTCCCTGATGCTGCATTCCATCTGCTTGGAATTTCAGCACTTAAATGCAGGGCTCTTGAAGGACCTGGCATGTAAAGACCCCTTTCACTTTATTGTTCAGCCTCATGATGAATGAGTGTGTAGGACACACACCATTGGATAACTTTCCAGAGAGGGTTTCAGTTTGATTGTCCTTTTTAGACAGACTTGGTGGCAGAGAGAATGAATAATGGCTGATCCTTACTTTCTTTTGTTTCAAGCATGTTAATGGTGCACTCCACTGCCTTATGGTGTGTGTATTTCACTCTAAGCTTGCAAAGATAATCTTGCATCCTGCACAGCCATACACAGCTATATATTTTTGATACCTTACCTCACTATAACTTGGTATTGTCCTTTCCTGCAGGGTTATCAAGCAGAAGTGTTTCTACAAGGAGAGGGACTCACTGGAAAGGAGCTTTTTCCTTTGTGAGGGTTATTATTGGTGCTAAGTACTATGCTTAAGCTAATTTACCTGCATGTGTTAAATGTGCAGTTTTCCCCTATGTAGTGTAATTGTTTATAAGCAGAACTGCTCTCCCAGTTCTTCTGATTTTCCTACTGATACTCTCCATTAATTTCTCTTAAGTTAAACTAATACTTCAAAATAAAAAAGAAAATAAAAGAAAAAAGAAAATGCATTAAAAAATTCCAGAAGCAAAAAGTTCTGGTTAGGAGTGCTGAGAAGAAAGGACAGTATTACAGCTAAAAGGCTGAAAAGTTCAGAAAGAGCTCCTTTCCACAACGAAGTGGTTTTTGGGTTTGTAGGTTTTTTTTCATTTCAATATCTAAAGGTTCATTTTGGCAGCAGCAAAGTACCTGAAATTTTGAGTGCTGATGATTTGTTGTTGTGGTTTGGTTTGGTTTGGTTTGGTTTGGTTTTTTTTTGGGGGGGAGGGTTCTTTCGTTTTAAATAAAGATATCTTAATCTGCTTATTAGTAATGCATAAAGAAAAATAAATTCCTGTAAGAGGAAGAGAGAAAGGAGGGTGTGGATCTGATCACTGCAGATTGAGCGAACTGCACACTTGAGAGAACTGGAGGTTATAGACAGCTCCCAGATGGAGATACAGCCACAGCAGAAATAGTTTTTTTGTCATTCTTCCAAAACTAAACAGGCTCCACTGTCCCAGCAACGCAACTTGAGAGAGCTGTGCCCTTACACTGCTTTTGTCTCTTAGCTTTTGAAGATGCTGACAGTGCTGTGGATGACCGGGACAGTGACTACCGCAGTGAGACGAGCAACAGCATCCCCCCTCCATACCACACCACCGTGCAGCCCAACGCCTCTGTGCACCAGTTCACGGGCCCGGCTCGCCTGCAGCAGCAGGGAGTCTTGCGGGATTCCTGTGCTGACTCCCTCCAGAATTATGATCTGGATTATCGAGAGCATGTGGCTGTCAGGTGAGTGCTGTCGTTTGGGTAGCTCTCCTTTCCCTATTGTTTTTCCCCTGCAGGCCATGAAGGTACCGTGCTGGCAGGGGAGGGCAGATCAAGGGCTCTTAAAAGTCTTCTGATAGAAAGGTGTTACGTGTGTTGTTGACACTGGGATTCTGCGAACCCAGAACTGCGAACCAGGAAAAACCTGTGAGGGTATGTATTATGCCATATCTGGCAGTTCAGGGAGTTACCTTTAAAAGATACTCCCAGCTTTAGGTCATTTACTCTTGATTGTACTTTCTCTGTACTCTCTGAATACTATAGTAGTGGGTAGTTGCTTGTCCTGGTACCATGGTGTAGGTGTGCCTCCCAAGCCAGTGAAACACTTTCTAGCAGAGTTATCTATGGGGAGCTTCTTTCTTGGTGCAGATTTATTTTCTCTTCTGGACCAGCTCCAGTTCTATTAGATCTGCCAAAACAAAGTATTCATGAGGAAAGTCGGTAACAGATTAGTCGAGGTTTTTTTCCTTCTGTTCCTGTTATCATACAAGACTGTTGAACGGTGTGCTTTCTCTTTAGATTTACTTTCAACTGTATGAAAGATTGTTTGTTTGCTCTGAATTTTTTTTTACCATAAATCAGTAGTTTCACAAGTATTTCTAACTTCTAGAAGTATTGAGCATTGCAGCACTAACTTACCAGGATCAGTGGTTGTGAGCTAAAGCTGGCTGTGCAAGGTGAAAGCAAAATATTTTGGACAGTGCTAGTCAGCTTGGTAAGAGTGGTTCTGTGGGACAGGCTGAGCTGCTGCTTCTGCCTTTGGTGAGGGAGGAAGAGGGAACTACTTTAGCAGTATCACAGAGGTGCAGTTTTATTTGTATTATAACTGATTTGTTCTGCCTTGCCTCCCTTGGTGCGAATGTTCTTGTTTTCTGAAGCCTGAACCTAAATTCAGTTATTGTCTTGGGTGGCTGAGGCTAAGTTCTGCAATTCTTGATGTGTGGGATCATTAATGGGAAAGGGTGAAGTTTAATGGTAACATCTAATATCATTACTGTTACCGAGGTTTCAAAATTAGAAACAAATGTGTCAACAAAATGCATTTACTGCAGTGTGATGTGTCATTCCTAGTGCTCTATTCCTAGTTCATTAAATGTCTTATATATAAGCAAGTTATTCCCTTTCCCATGTGAGTCTGTGCTGCTAGCTTGCAGTGGTAAAACTGCTGAAGATCTAACTGAGAAGATGAGATGAGGCTTTTTCTTTTTGATCAAGCTGAGCTGAACAGTGATGTTGGATGCCCAGTCAGGGGAAGCCAACGGTGGTGGCATAGTTTTGGAGTTGTGTGATTTCTTGGAGTGGTGTTGACAATAAAGGTGGTTTTTCATGGCTCACTTTGCTCAGAGTCAGTCCATATGTGAATTTCTGTCTGTATCTAAAAAATACTATGTTAGACTTTCCAAGAGCCACTGCTGGTTTGAATTGTTAGAGAGTAGAGAAGCTGGAATATATTTCTTTTTTTCCCTCTGATTTCCTTAAGGTGTTGTTGTAAAAGGTTATAGACTGATACAATGTCACAACTAAAAAGCTGTGAGCTTTGTAGTTTGCTATGTCTAAAATTACTTTCAGTCCAGAAATGAAAATCCTTGATGGTGATCTGAGCACTCCTGTTCCCATGTGCATTTTCCACATGCCCAACAAGATTCTTTGCTACATATTTAATCTTAAAATATGCAAATAAGCTTTCTAAAGAAGCTACATGGGATTCTCTTACTTACCAGAAAGGTATTTCTAACAAGCTGGCTGAAAAGAAGCATGTGGGTAGATCTTAAATATTTTCAAAACAAAGTTGTAGCTGAGCATTGCAGGAACAAATTGTATTTGACTTTTGTTCCTAGCAGCTCTCAGTGCTATGTACCAGGCAGTCACATGATGACATCAGTGTTCCTGGCAGACTGCAGCTGATGGTTGCTGTGAAAATGAGGGCTTGTAGGAGGCTTTCCTGGGCAGACCCAGAAGAACCAGACAAGAACTTGCTAAAACCTGTCTAGAACTGGGCAAAAGGTGGTCAGTGGCAAAATGCCTCTGTTGAAATTCTCTATTCTTACACCTGGGTTTTTTTCTTACAATACCTGAGTTTGGATGAAAAAGATCTGCTTCTCTTTATTAGCTGTTACATGTGATCCTATTCCTTTGGTAGACGGAATGTATTTTCTTCCAACCTTTCCTAAGGATGACAAGAAATATTGTTATTTGTCCTTGGAGTGTGTTTTGCTGCCGGCAACCAGTTTGGCTTCAGAAGGACAGACATCTTTCCCTCAGTTCTGGTTTTTTCTTTGGTTTGTTCTTTGTTTAAGCACTAACTTTCCTTTGCAATGCTTGTTTTCCTAAACTGTCCTCCATACCTCCCTAGTCTTGCTCAATATGATAGCATAGAATCCACTGTGAGAGGCCACACTGACCTAGAATATCCACGTCTGAGTCTCTAGATCTGTCAGATGAGTGGGTTATCCTCTCTGTACCTGTCTGCCTGTCTTCCTGCTGTTGCTGCTTTGAAGTGTTCCTCTGGTGCATTTCAGGTGATACTTGCTGTTTGCCTCAGCTGATTTTTAGATCTGTAGTAGTTAAGTGCTGGGCTGATGTCTTTTTCTCCTCTCATGTGTTTGGTTTCTCATCATTATTTCTAGTAAAAGGGCTGCTTTGTAAAAGAGCAGAGGAAACACATAGAGGTAAAGAAGCTCAATTAGAAAGAGAAGTAATTTTCTGTATGCCTAAATTAGTAAATTTTTTGGTTCAGCATTTACAGATAATGGCTCTTGAGACATTGATGTAGCTCCATTGTCTTCAGCTGAGTTTTGGAAAGGGCTTGATCCAGTAACTATGGTGGCCCTGGGAAACTTTTAAAAGAAAATTATTTCAATTACTGACTTAAAATAGTGAGCAAGAAGTGTAGTAAGTGTTCTAAACTGTGTATAACAGGACTCATTTAAAGTAATGAGCATCTTTCCAATTAGTATAAGTTAGCAATACTGTTGGAAATGCAGCACTAAAGCAGCAGTAGAAAAAGCAATGACCCATCTCTCTTTCAGGCATACCCCATCTGTATCCTATGTTGGTGTGCTCCATGCAGCTCTCATGGTGAAGAATTCTGGATTAGCAGTATCCATAAAATGCCTGTGTGATCTTTGTCTTTTCCCTCCTCTGTCACTATGGGGACAGGAGCACACATGCCCTCATACTCCTTAGTTCTCAGCAATGGGTGATGTGAGGCAAAGCTGCATCTTTCAGATAATCATTTTTATGTTTTTACATCAACTTTCTACCTGTTTGTTTGTACATAGATTGTCAGAAGCTGTCCTTATGAGGTTTAGATCAAGGAGAAGTTTCCTTGCTATTACTCTTGGAGCTGCTGAACAACTGAGATAATCTTACTGACCAAGGGATAAGAATTAATCCCAAAATCCCAAAGGTCATTTCTTTGGATTCTAGGAAGCATCAGATTGTTTCACAGCTTAATCCATTCTTCCACAATGTAAAAGTATAAATTGCTGGATCTGTTCAGATGCATTATAAATGGGAAGTACAGATCTTGAAAAGCATCTGAGGCTTATGATGGGCTAATATCCAGCGCCAGTGTTTTGTTTTACCTTCTGGTCCAGTAACAGCTCTGAGAATCTTAATTTTGTGTTGGTAGAGGCACCTTGAGGCCATTAGCTGCAGCAAGAGCTCTCCCAACAGAAAGAACAGTGAAATAGCTGAAACTCCTCTTGTTGCTCATCCCCATGGTTTGCATTTTTTCCTCTGTCCCCATGTGGCTGGAGTCCAGAGACTCTTAAGTGTCCAGATGAAATCTCTGCTCTGTTGCCACCCTTGGGAGATACAGGGTCCCTGTGTGTTTATGAATACTGCTGAAACAAAGTCTGCAGTCCAGAGTGATCAAAATGCAGGCACAGCATAGTGGAATGGTGCGCGTGGGCACTGCATCTCAAAGTAGTCCTGTTACTGCAATAAATTACTTCTTCTCAAGCATGCCTAAAAAAGCAACAGCAGAGTACTGGTACAGCCAAGGCTGTGTGCCCTCACTTGATCACAAAAAGCTGTTCTCCCTCAAAAAGGCACTTCTAAATTTTGTGCAGACATAACCGATGTAATCTCATAACCCATGCTGCTTCTTTTGACTATTTGATTGAAGTGTAATGGTGGTAGATTGGCATGTTTTCAATTTTATTATTTCTGAATGTTTCTGATTCTAATTTTAGTTTATTTAATGCATGTTTCTCCATTACTATTTTTTCTGTCCTTCCTAGCTTTTTTTAAAACTGTTGTTTTTCCCTTCCTATTTTTTTTTCCTGCCTCTTTTCCTTTCCCTCCCACTCCCTTTATTTCTCATCTTAGACAAGGATCTCTAGCTAGAAATGAAAGAGTCAGGATCGTTCCATTTGACACTGAAGATGGAGAGGAAGAGCAGGAGACCTACGAAGAGCTAGGAAAACTGTTAATAGAGGATTTCTTAGAAAAAACTCATAAAACTAGGAGTTGGCATGAAAAAAACATGAAAAAGATGCAAACTCTCTCAAAAAGAGAAAATTTAAATCACTTTGAAAGGTCAAGGTGCTGCCAAAATGTGTGTCTGGAGTCAGGGTCTGTAGATGTCCCTAGATATCCTCAGGAATATGATACAATTGATAGAAGAAGGAAAAAGAAGCTGCGATACAATTTGGAAGAGAGAGAACGAATAAGCCTGCAATGTAATGGAGGTTTGCAGTTTCCTGGGGAGAAAACAGTTTATTTCAATGGTGTGGCAGTTAGTTCTGAACCCATTGATGATTTCCCAGTATATGACAGAGTTGGAAAATATACCAGTAACTCAGAAGGTAAGGGGTTGCCTGCTTATCCAGTCCTGCGTCCATACAAAAATGGGTTAATGGTAAAAAGTGGCAAGTTGCCCAACAGACAGGGGATGAACCATGAGGGTTCACCTCACCTGAGTAAGATTGAGGACATGAAGCACATGCGGATGCTAGAGAACACTTTTGTACCCGTTGATGTCCTTGAGGAATTTGACAGCAGTGCTTCTGATGAGTTCCAGTACTCTCCTGTTTCAGATGATGAAATGGGGGAACTGGCTACACTTTCAAAAAGATGGTATGATTCTGACATCAGCCATTTGAGAAACATAACTGCTAATTTCCCTGAAAATACGGGCTCACAGTTAAAAGCTAGCTCTGATAAAAAACATAAAACTAAAGAGAGCAAGCGTGGTCATCCTGTGCAAGACTTAACACTGTCTCCTGTTGAAGAACCCAATGAGGAGTACATAGACACGATGGATGAACTTCAGTGTCTGGTAGAATCAGTCTCTGAATACTTGGCTGAAAAGGAGGAAGAAATCAGCAAATTTGGTACATTGCCAGAAACAAAAAAACAAGTTGAAAATGTGCCACTGAAGCAGGATAATGCTGATAATTCAGCAGAAGCTAAAAAGTCTGAGCAGACCAAACATCTTGCTGCAGAGGAGAGTACCAAAGGCAAATCTGAATCTCTCCCGGACTTGTCAGGTGTGAAAAATACAGTGAATTCCCTGTTCAGCTCTTTCACGGAGAAAGTGGGTTCAAGCACAAAGCAACTCACAGCATCTGTTGAAAAACTTGTGTCTTCCACTCCAGAGAATACAGAAAACAAAAACTCATCAGAAGGTGGACTCTTGAATGTATTTACTAGTAAGGCGAAAAGTGAGAGTTCATCTGGAGGGGCAGCAGATAGTAAATCTGATACCAAGTTCTCCATTCAGTCTTTGCTACCATCCCAGGTGAGCAGTGATAAAAGAGCCCAGAGCACAAACTCCAGCAAGCCAGAAACCACTGAGACAGACAGTAAGGCTTCTGTACCACATCCTTCCCAGCAAACACAAGGAAATTCGGCTGACAGCCAGCAGAACCAGCATTCAGTTGTGAATTCAGTTCTAGGCATGTTTAATCCTTTAAAGATCTTCTCTGACAAGGAAGTGCCAAAACAAGAAGTCACAAAAGAGGAGCGCACCAAGGACAGCCATGCTGTGAAAGTTGAGGAGGCAAAAAGGAGCGAAACACTGTCTGGACAGGTGTCTACCAGGACCAGCAGCACTGTTCCAGAGGCACAGAAAAGTGAGACTAGAAGCGAGGCAGAGGTAAACGCAAGTAGCACTTCTGTGTCTTCAATCTTTGGAAGGCTTACAAACTCAGTCAGTTCCTTCAGTCTGAAGGCAAATTTTGACGGCCTCTTGGCTCCGAAGCAGCCGGATGTGCCACAGAAGCAACCAGATTTGCATCCTATTACAAGTCAGCCAGGTGCCACTTTGGTAGAGGGTGCACCTGCTGCCAGGGAGCAGCCTCCTGCAAATCACTCAGAGGATCAGCATCCTGCAGGCCATGGACTGGAAAACAAGCCAAACAGAGGTAATGTGGAGCCTAAATCACAGCCTCAAGGTCAGGGTACAGCATCTGAAAGCTTTTTTAGCCCACTCAAAAAGTCTTTCAGTCAATTTTTGCTTCCTTCTGCTGAACAAGGGAAGAAAGAAAGTACATCTGAAAATTTTAAAGACCATAAGTCTGAGGAGGATATAAGACAAAATAGTTCATCAAAGGAAGAGCACTTATTTCCTTTCACTGGAAAGCTTCCTTTTATCAGTGGGATGGGTTCTTCAGCAAAGCAGGAACAGAGGAATGACAAGGGAGGCTTTATGTCATCATTATTTAAATTTTCTTCTGCAGAAAATCTAGCATCTACGCAGGACCAAAAAAGTCATCAAGGTTCTAGTGGCAGTTCTTTTCCTGAAGGCAGAAAGAGTAATTCAGGAAATGCTGTTTCAATAAAATCTAGCTCAGTTCCAAATTTATCAGACAGTAAGGAGGAACTTCTACAGGGGAGAAACATGAATAAAGAAAATCTGTCTACTGTCCAGGTAAACAGAGAAAAACACCAGGATAGTGCCTCTGCTACCCTTAAGGCCAAAGAAGAGCAACAGAAAGCTAAAAGTACTCACGAAGAACCTAGAAATGTAAAGGGAGGACTGATGATAGAAGTAGCAAGTGCAGCAGACTTAAGCAAAGGCTCAGTTGAATCCACCTCTTCAGCCAAAGGGCCAGAAGCTCCAAGTGCAGATGATACTCAGAAGAAGCACACAGCAGGTTTCCTTTCTGGCTTTCTTCACATTTCTTCAAATGAAAACACAGCCAATCATCAAGACTTGACTGCTAAAAGCGAGGGTGACAGCCAGAAAAGCGCTTCTCCTGGCTTATTTTCTGGCTTATTTAGGTTTGCGTCAAGTGAAAACTTGTCTGAATGTAAGCAAGAGAAGGCAAAACCAAATTCTCTGGGCTTCATGAAGCTTTTTGATAGAGGTGAGGATTCAAGCTCCGAGACAAAACCCAGTAACTCAGGAATGGCTTCTGACAGTCAAAGCAGCACTGGAGAAAAGCAGGAAGCTTCCAGCTTCTTAAAAAATCTGCTGCCAAAACCAAAGGAGAAGCAGGATAATGTGAAAACAGTGGAATCTTCCACTACCAACCACCCCTCCAGTCCAAGAGTAAATGAAATAACTGAGCCTCATGTTCCCCATGGTGGGCATCCTGAGGCCCTAAATCTCCAAGCCAAGGTACAGGACTTGTCTGGAAAGCCTGTAAATAGTAGGCATATTCCTCACCAGGATGCAGAATC